GGCAGTCTACCCGCTCGTCGTCTGTTCTCAGCTCCAGCTGTGAGGCTGAGATCTACGCAGGAGCCATGGCTGCACAGGAGTTACGCTGGCTCACCTACCTGCTGACTGACCTGGGAGAGCCGCCTCGTTCTCCTCCAGTTCTGTACGTAGACAACAAGGCCATGCTGGCCTTGTGTCGGGAGCACAGACTGGAGCATAGAACGAAGCACATTGCTCTTCGCTACTTTCTTGCTCGTGAGCTGCAGCAGCGTGGTCAGCTGCGCCTTGCTTACGTGGCCACTCGGGCCAACACTGCTGATATCTTCACCAAGGCACTTCCGCCTTGTGATCATCAGCGCTTCTGTACGATGCTAGGTCTTGTGCCCACCTTGCCTCACTTGCTCACTTCATGACCTTGCTTGTACTGTGGTATATATATACCTGCTCTTGCTTGTTTACCTTTATATATAATCATGCATGTGAACTGGCCTTGTGGCCTTGACCTTGTGCTCAGATTTTGTGGTGACGTTGTGATCCACTCTGAGCTTGCTTTGCTTGACTGGTCTTGTGGCCTTTAGGTCTTCCCCACTTTGCCTATGGGGGTGTGTCAAACTTATACAACATTGTTTATGTAGGCTTTAGTGGGTTAGACTCTATAGGGTATAGATCTTGTTACTTGTACTTCCCTCCCTTCTAGTCGATCAATCTTTCTCGCTTCCACACAAGTAGCTCTCATATCATGTTGAGCTGAATGCTCTAATAAACGATAAAGGATTGTACGCATATCAGAAGTTTGTTGTAAGAATTGGTTGAAGAAGAATTGATTGTAAGAAGCATCACAAGGGATTTCATAGCTAGATATAAGTACATGTTCTCTAGTGTACCTGTTCTATAACTTCAACAGATTGTACCCTTTTTGCTACAGTAAAGCCCTATTCGTGTACGTCATCACATTTCTAGTGAAGAGTAATTTACTAAGGTGATACTTGCTATTGTAGCTAAGAACTTATTATTATTTTCTTGAAGTGTAAAAGACCCATTTTCTTCAACACAATGCATAACATTGACCCCACTATTGGACCACGAGAATGTATAGGACCGAAATGCCCAAGGCGCCCCTGGTAGCTTACCGAACCCGTGACATACTTTGCTCTGAACCGATGTGCCAGGGCTTACATTACTTCACAGGAGTGACCAGTAGTCGAGAGTGTTTCATAGGGTCTCATATGGGCTGATTACTGCTGCATGCATCAGAATGACCTCAGGGCCTGGCCTCCCTCCCAGCCCAAGTCCCCCTAGTCAGTTCGTCACTTCCAGCCAGATATTTAATCCTTAAATTCTCTCCCATCCCAATCTGAACCCCCCCATTCCACTATTCACTCTCAGCCAAAAACCACCTGTTTCTCTAGTAATAGGAACCCCCCGTTAATCTACTCTCTCCCTGCACAAGCCCTCGTTCCCTTACTCACACTATGTGCAAGTCCCGCTTCCTACACTCTCTCCCAACCCAAAAACTCCAGTTTTCATACTCATTTTGAAACAAGGCTCCTTTCCTTCCCAAATGACTCTCTGCCACTCCCCCCCAAAACAAGTATCAACAAGTCTCTCCCCCCATGCCTCCTCCCCTCGCCCTACCCCACCCTCCCCCCATTCCCTCTCCCTCCCCCACACCTTTCCCACTTCCCGAGCCTAAGCCCTTTTTTATTTTTTTTTTCAGCACAACCTCTGTGGGCAAGTCCCCATCACTCTCTGCAAGCCACTTCCTTCCACCCAGGGCCTATTGCTTCTCTCCAGCTTACCCAACCAGTTTATACATAGAGCCGGTAAGCTAGAGCAGGAAATTCATAAATCAGATGTAACAGGCTTCCATGATTCTTACCCTTACTTGTAAAGGGTGACCCAAGTACATTATTTAGCCTTTCTGCGGTGTGTGTTCGAATGATGAAATTGGTCGGCTCAGCAAAGTCCCGCTTTGTGCTGGCTAGGGAAGTTGTCGTCCACTGACATACCATAATGAATTCAAGTGAATGTACTGTTGTGAGGCCTCATCAAGAGTAGGCACCACAATTTATAGCTAAGAAATGTGTTATAAAGAATGCAGATAGGCGTGAAGTTCAGGAATTACGTGATACCATAATCCCCTGATTACAGGACCCTCCCCTCCCCATGTAAGAGAACCCCATGTCTCTTATCCAGAACAGGATGTTTTATTTTGGCAGGTTTACGTGGAAAACCAGTTTCCAATCCTTGATATTTTGAAGACACCCCCTCTCAGGCCTTTACTAGGATTTGAGGCACCCTGAGCTGTCAAGTCAATATCTTGAAAGTTTTGAACAACCCTAAATTTCCAGGGAAAATCCTACAATCTGAAACTTCAGGGCATCGCTGTACTTCATCCTGTCCTTTCAGGGCAGATCATGGGAGGTCAAAGCAGGGGAGAGCAGAGCAGTGGAGGGCAGAGGAGAGGAGGGAAGAGCAGGAATAGACAGGGCATGGGAGGGCAGAGGAGAGGAGGGCAGGGCAGGGGAGGGCAGAGCAGCGGAGGCAGAAGAGAGGAGGGCAGAGCAGGAATGGGCAGGGCATGAGAGGGAAGAGCAGGGGAGGGCAGAGCAGAGGAAGGCAGAGCAGGGGAGGGCTGAACACAGGAGGGCTGAGCACAGGAGGGCAGGGGAGTGCAAAGCAGGGAGCAGGGAGGTAGAGCAGGGGGGAGCGGAGTAGGGGGGGAAGAGTAGGAGACATTGTTGCAGGGGATGTGTTACTCTGGAGAGGCGGGAATCTATCAGGGAACTACAATGTCCTCGGCAGGGCACTCCTCCACATACGTCCTGATGTTTCAGGGCAGAGAAATACACGTATCCTGAAATTCCAGGGTGAAACTCAACACTATCATGAAACTTCAGGGCACAGACCCTAGACACACCCTGGAAATAGGGAAGTTAGGATGTTTTACTTTGTTGTCATAGGGAACCCTCGTCTGTACACTTTGTATTTTGGGCGTACTTTTTGTTCTGCCACATTAGATTGCGATGGATATGATTTTAAATCTCTGAGCACGGCCCTCAGATCTGTTAAATATGGGAGCTCAATCAACCCAGCTGGTCTACGTAAATATGGGAGCCCGATCCTACATGTTAATGGAAAACAAAACATGTCAGACCTCGCATTTTCCAGCCTGGATCTTCACTTGGTCTGGAATACACACTCTGGTTGCTTTGATGAGTTTATCGATGCAATCGTAGCCGTTGGTCTTCTTGTAACACCCTTTGATTCCGCGGAAGTACTTGACCTGCAGGGCAGTGCAGCGGTCACCAGTCCCGACCACGTACACGCGACTCTTGGGGCACACCCCTTGCGTGAAACTGAATGAGCTGCCTATGCACGCCTGCATTGGTGGGTCGATAGATAGGTAAGCGGGTGGGTGCTGGGTAAGTTGGTGGGTACGAAGGTAAGTAAGTGGGTGTTTAGAAGGTGGGTTGGTATGTTGGTAGTTAGGTAGGTAGGTAAGTAGTAGGTAGGTGGTAGGTAGGTGGGTAGATAGGTAGGTAGTTAGGTAGGTAGGTAGGTAGGTAGGTAGGTAGGTAGGTAGGTAGGTAGGTATGTAGGTAGGTAGGAAGGTAGGTAGGTAGGTAGGTAGGTAGGTAGGTAGGTAGGTAGGTAGGTAGGTAGGTAGGTAGGTAGGTAGGTAAGGAGGTGTATGTAGGTAGGTAAGGAGGTGTATGTAGGTAGGTAGGGAGGCAGCCAGGCAGGTATGTGGGCAGACAGGTCAGTAAGTTGGTTGTTAGGTACGTGAGAATAGGGATGAGCATAAATCCGGGCCCGGCCCGGCCCGGCCCGTGTCGGGCCGGCCCGGAATTACCTCGGGCCGGGCCTCGGATTTTGAAGGTGCGGCCCGATGCGGGCCGGGCAGGTCCGGCCCGCCGGGCCGCGGTAGCCCGACATTGGCCCGGCTGTTTTCGGGCCGGGCCGGGCCCGCCCGGGTCGAAGCGCGGCCCGGGTCGGGCTCAGAGGGCTAGGGTTAGACCCCCTCGACAAATTGTCGAGGAGGTCAAATCTGAGCTGCGACCAAATTTCGCAGCTCGTTTTCTGCAGCACGCACCCCTTGCCTCTACCGTTCCTTAACGCGACACTTTCCGTCCAGCACTTACCGTATTTAATAGCTTAGGAACCTACAAGTTAAAACTAGCTCTAGTGGTTGACGCGATGGGCGCCTAAGGCAAATGCGAAATAGTCGCGCCATCCTGTAGTGGTGATTGAAACCCTCTAAATCGGCCGCGATTCACACTCCTTAGTAAGGCTTCATTTCGACTATAGGGTTTCCAGCAAATTCGACCGTAGGAATGAGTTAATTATATTAGGGCTTCCCCAACATCTACGTTTAGGCTTATTGTTAGTGTTTGATTGAGCATTTTTGTCAACCACCAATTCAATCCTAAAATCGAGAACGCATTCAAAACTTATTATTTTCAGCAACTCCCAAGTAGTAACTTATGGCGCCTAAGAGAAATGTGCGGGCGGGCGCTTCGAAGCAACCAACTGCCGATGCTGCACCGCTTTTCGCCGGATTAGGGAAGGGTCTTATCTTGCTGCCGCAGCAAGATGAATGCTTCCAAGTTGAGGGACAGCTGCGGCAGGGGGTGCGACCGACTGGTGGAGGGGTAGGGGGTGGACGTGATGGAGAGGACCGCGATGATGGTTCCTCATCATCTAGTTCTTCAAGTAGTGACTCTTCCGGAGATGGAAGCGAGTCGGAGTACGAGGAGGAGAAGGGGGATGGCGCGGAGGAGGACGAGGAAATGCAGGATGTTGAGGAGGAGGAGTCTCCGAGGGCGGGGAAGGGGGGAAAGCGTCGTCGTGCGGGGGGGGGGGGGGGGAAGGGCAAGAGTAAGAAGAAGAGTAGTGCCACGGGCGGGAAAGAGAAGGGGGACAAAGAAGCGGGAGGGGTGCGGGAGGGGCAAGTGAAGAAGAAGGGGAAGACTACAAAGGCCAGGGCGCCCACATGGGTTAAGTACACCGTCGTGAAGATGTTTGGCCCGGAGAATGAGAACAAGTCACGCAAGTGCAAATGCTGCGACGCATGGATCTCATTCAAGCAGAGCAGCACACGTTCGGGAATGCGACACTATCTTGGGCAGCACAATGCACACTACGCCATCTGGAAGCGTATGTATGAGGGTGGGCTCGTCCCGTCTGACGCTACATTCCCTGAGGGCGGTTACCGCGGGGTGCCTCACGGTGGCACACCCTGGCCTTATGCGGACGCGTACCCGAATGTCCCCCCTGAGGCTCTAGAGGGAGGGGCACTTGGTGTGGGGGGTGGGCAGGGTACGATGGAGCAGTTCATGGCGCCAAAGCTTGCGAAGAAGGAGCTGCGAGCCGCCATTGCGAAGTTCGTGGTGATGACCGACAGCTCGTTCCGCGTCGTCGACACTGACGCGGTATGGATGGTCGAGTTCATTGTGCGCATGCTTGCCTTCATGTCGCCACACACTATCCACAACCTTGCCAGCCACCCACCCCACCCACACTCCCACCAAACTCATCTTGTTCGCCTTTTGTATCACTCCCTTACAATCGTTGTGCACGTCCCACAGTTCAAAGAAATGCTCACTGTGGCCAACCCACTTTGCGGGGAGCCAAATGTCCTACCATCTCGCTGGACGGTTGCCCGTGACGTGACGAGGTACGCCGACATGGCACGGGCGTTGGCCAGGGCCGAGCTGGAGCTGGCCGTGGATGAGGTATTGCCACTGTTCCGGGTGTGCTTCACCACTGACATCTGGTCGTCAGTGACGAAGCGCAGTTACATGGTCGTGACCGCGCACTGGATCTCGCCTGACTGGCAGCTGCGACAGGCCACCCTCGATTTCGGGGAGATGTCGGCGGGGCACACGGGGGCGGACATCGCGAAGCGGTTTGAGGAGGTGGTCACAGCATGGAACTTGGTGGGGCGTTGTCATGGCATCACCACCGACAACGCCTCGAACAACGATTCGGCAGTCAGGGAGCTGTCCGATGATGATACCCGCTTTCCACTCATTGACAAGGACATGTGGTTCAGGTACGCCGTGTACGGGCTTGTGCAAGTGTTTGTACTTTTTATGTTATGGCCATGGGCATGTGCACAATGGCAGCATTTGCATGGGCGTACCGGTCAGTCATGGTCATGCGTGTGCCGGCCTGCATGCGACAGTGTATATTCTCAACCTTGCTGAGTGTGTGGCCCGTACGTTTCATCCAGGTGCATGGCGCATGTGCTGAACCTTGCTGTCCAGAAAGCGCTCGCTGTAGACACAGTCAAGGAGGCTCTGAAGCGCATCCGTGATACGGCCACATTCGTTGGCATGTCGCCTAAGTGCATGGAGCGCTTCAGGAAGGAGCTGAAAGAGAGCTATCCAGCATTGGCTGCCCTCAAGCTGGTGATCGATTGCGATACCCGCTGGGGGTCCACCTTTGCCATGGTGGCACGTGCTCTGCGTCTTCGTCGGCCATTGACCTCGCACTTCGCGAACGAGCAGGTTAGTGTCCCATATGAACGTAGGGGTTCTGTCAAGTATCCTTCTCTCAACCATTACTTGCCTTCCCAACCTCAACCACACATGTGATGTGCTCGTTACATGCATGCTCCCACAATTCCACAACCTCCACCCAACCCCCAACCACTTTCACCACCCACCCCGACTTGCCGCTCTGAAATCTCTCACCCTTACCACAGGGCACGACCCAGGAAGAGAAAGATAAGTACGCATCTTTGCGCATGACTGATGATCACTGGGCGGCACTGGTGGCGTTGAAGGGGTTCCTAGCGCCCTTCAACGCCATCACCAAGGCAGCTGAAGGGAGTGCGTACCCGACTGTGACCACCATTGTGCCGTACTACAACCTTCTTCTCGACACACTTGAGAAGATTTTGAAGGATGCCACAAACCCCCCCTCAGCCCTCCTTCGTGATCTCGTTAATGCAGCATTGCCGGTACTGCAGAAGCACTATGACAAGAGTACAGACGAGCTTACGGTCGCCACCTTCCTTGACCCTGGCCTGAAGATGGCGTACTTTGCGATGCCAAGTGTGCCGGATGTTGCGCAGGTGCCAACGGATCAGGTGCTGCGCTTGGTGCGCTCGCGCTGGGAGTCGTACCACACCTCGCAGAGGTTGGCAGCAGCTGCAGTAGCACCACCTGTCCCTCCAGTGGTGGTGAGAGAGCCCACGGCTGCTGTCGATGGGGAGGAGGAGGATGATGAGGGCGGGAACATCGCTAGTCGCTCTAGCTTGCTTGCACGTATTGCGGCTAGCGTGGAGGGTGGGGGGGTGAGAGGTTCCGGGGGGGACGAGATCGATAGGTACATGCTGGAGGAGCTTGTGCAGAACGTCTCCCCCCTTGAGTACTGGCGTGACAAGCGAGACATGCCCGTGCTCAAGGCCATGGCCCGCGACTACCTTGCCATACCCGCTTCGTCTGCTGCCAGTGAGCGTGTGTTTTCGATGAGCAGGAACCTCATCACGTGGCAACGACACAGGTTGAGCGATGAGAGGATTCGCGATGCCATGACATTGCGTGCCTTTTTCGCAAGCCACCCAGGAGTTTCATTGGAGGATGCGTCCACAGGCACAGTCGGTGCGACAGGGGCACCGCCTGCCATTGTGGATATTGGGGTGGAGGGTGAGGGCCCAGCGGATATGTAGGGTGGGCCCGCGTGGTTATGGTACTTGTGTTGGCTGCAGACCTTGCTACTTTGCTTTACGTAGGTGTTTCTTGTTGGACTTAGACTAGCTGCGCTTATGACAGCATCTGGTGCTATAACATGGAACAATAGACAGGCGTTGATACATTGGAAAGCCAATAGCACAGCATAGTTTTGTCTAGGCCACGCCAGGTCTGGTGCGTGCGGCCATCGTCACTTGATGTGTAGCCCTCCTTCCGCCTCTCCTATGTCATGCGCCATCAGAACTGCCACCTGCAAGCACGCACGCCGTTGGATAGAGGGCGTGCCCACGCAAACCACCAACGGTGGGGGTTATTTGCAGGCCATGAACATTCGCTACTGTAATGATTGAGTACCCGGGCCGGGCCAGGTCCGGCCCGGGTCGGGCCCTGCTTAGCCCGGCCCGGGCTATTTTGGCCCGCATACCAAACACCCGAGCCCGGGCCAAGGCCTCACTAAATTTGCCCGAGTCGGGCCGGGCCCGGACCGGCCCGGATTTTTGCAGGGCCCGGGGTGGCCCGACCCGGGCAGGGCCCGGCCCGGCCCGTGCTCATGCCTACGTGAGAAGCTGGTAAGGTAGGTGAGTAGGTGGGTAGGTACGTAAGTAGTTATGTGGGTGGGTAGGTGGGTTGGTAGGTGGGTAGGCATGTGGTTAGGCATGTGGGTAGGTATGTAGGGTAGGCATGTGGGTAGTTATGTGGGGTAGGCATGTGGGTAGGCATGTGGGTAGGTAGGTGGGTAGGTAGGTGGGTCGGTAGGTGGGTAGGCATGTGGGTAGGTAGGCGGGTAGGTAGGTGGGTAGGTAGGTAGGCAAGTGGTGGGTAGGTAGGTGGGTAGGTAGGTGGGTAAGTAGGTGGGTAAGTAGGCGGGTAGATAGCTGCTGTGCACGACGGTGGGGAAAAAGAGGAAAGGGAGGCTAAATGGGGTGGCTGTGTGTGCATGCTGAATGAAGGGGAAAGTCAGCGTAGCTCCGATGGCTCTGGAGGACTGGAGACATGGGCTGGAGGTGCAAAGAAGTGTGAGATTGAGTGCTGAAGCGGAATGGTGAAGTAGATGTCAAAACCCTTCTCCCTTCTATACCCCTCTCCTTGTTTTAAGGTAGTTAGACAAACTTAGTCGGGGTGGGAAACTAGGGTTTACTGTAGCTGGGGTTGAAAAGCCATAGTGGCCCAATTATTTGTCCCAAAAGGTTCGGTTTGGAGATGATTGGCCCCCGATAGCGGCGTCTCTCTTGACCAAGATTATAAGGCTTCCCATGTTATTTCTCAGCGCAACTTATTGGGCAGGAAGAGTTGGGTAGAAGCAACAGCCAGGCAAGGCAAACCCATAGAGTTGCATAGATGGAAGTAGCAGGTCTGGGGAAAAAAGAGTTTGACATGCATAGGTGCGTGTGAACCTTGATGCGAAACGTAGGGATAGTTTGGTAGGAAGAAGAGGCAGGACGAGACGGAGGGGGAACAATCCAGAGAAGTTGAAGGTTGGTATGAAAGTGGGAGAGACCAGGAACGGTGAAGGAACAACGACGAGGGGAAAAGGGTGACCCTGGGTAACTGGGGTGCGAGGAGGAGAGCAGACCTCGAAGCCTGTGAGGCTGCAGACGTCAGTCTTGGGCACGAGGCGGCTGCACTTGATGCCAGGATTGATAATTGCGTTGAATAAAAACCAACTCATCACACACAGAGGGGGGTCTGGAGAAAGAGGGGTGCGAGAAAGAGGGCAAACCTCGAAGCCTGTGAGGCTGCCAACGTCAGTCTTGGGCACAAGATGGCTGCACTTGATGCCGGGGTTGAGGCGGAAGATTTTTTTTAGTCTTCACGATAGTCACCTAGGGCACAAGAAAGAGAGCGCACCTCGAAGCCTGTGAGGCTGCCGACGTCAGTCTTGGGCACGAGGCGGCTGCACTTGATGCCGGGGTTGAGGCGGAAGAAGTCAATTGGTGAGAGTGGCGGGGAGGGCACGGAGCGGATCTGGTCGCACGTCTCCCCGGCCTGCACCAGATAGAACTGCGAGCACACCGGGATGAGCAGCGCCGCTGCGCTCTCCGCCCGCCGCTCCACACACACCGCCTGGCTGGGCAGCAGCTGGCCGCTGCTGCTGGCGCTGCCAGAGCAGTCGAGTCCGGGGTTGAGGGCTTGGAAAGCTGCTGCGCAGGGCGCCGTGGGAGTAGGGCAACCGGCGGTGAGGGAGAAGTAGGTGGCTAGAGACAAGCATGTGTCAACCTGGGGGGATGGGAGGGAAGAGGGGAGGACGGGGGGAAGGAGAGGGAACGATGAGTGGAGACAAGAGGGTGGGGAACAGAGGGAAGGGCGAGAGGGGAGCAGGGAAAGGGATGGAGGAACACACTGGTGTGAGGATTGGGAGTGGTTACGTTCCCGTGCCCTCCGCCACGTTCGCGCGCCCACGCCCACGCCCCCGCCCCCGGCCACGCCCGTGCCAATGCCCCCGTGCTCTCGCCCCCAATCACGCCCGTGTTTGCAGCCCCTCCTATGGCCTTACGACGCATTCGTAAACTCTTATCGCGTATTCATCCCACTTCCTGGTGTTTTGATAAAGTGTCGGCACAAAGTTAATCACTTCACATTTATGATTCTCATCACTTGCAACTAGCTCTCCAAAGTGAGTAATTAGCTGCAAACCAACCAGTCGGTGAATCACATACTCTGGAATTTTCTCTCCTGTGATGAGGTATGGCGTCGAGCCTGTGAGAAGGAATAATAAGGTAAAAAGAGAGTAGGCTTAATGCAATTGCATGATGTTTTAGTGCATCATCAATCGAAATATCATGAAACGAAATATAACTAAACTTGGAAATACGAGTGATTGAAGATGTCAGAATCTAGAAAAGAACAAGAATGGATGAACTAGCAGGAAGGTGGGTACAAGTATGAAACCCTAAGTTTGTGTACCCTCTAAGGCTAAACCCACTATAGCCTACACAATATAAACATACAATGTTTGACACACCCCCATAGGCGAAGTGGGAGACAACCAGAGGGTCACAAGACCAGTCAAAGCAAAGCAAAGCAAAACAGGCTCAGGGTGGATCTCAAGGATACCACACAAATTCCGAGCACAAGCAAGCGGTCACAAGACCAGTTCACATGCAGTTTGATAATATAGCAAGAGATACAGTGATCGCAACCTAGCAAGTGTAAGCATGCAGGTATATATATAGAGATCACAGTACAAACAGAGTCAAGAAGTAAGCAAGTGAGGTCCAGCAGGCACAAGGCCTAGAAGAGTACAGAAGCGCTGATGGTCACAAGGCTGAAGCGCCTTGGTGAACACATCAGCAGTGTTGGCCTCAGTGGCCACGTAACGCAGACAAAGCTGACCGCGCTGCTGCAGCTCTCGAGCAAGGAAGTACCGCAGGGCGATGTGCTTCGTTCTGTGCTCCAGTCTGTGCTCCTCACACAAGGCAATGGCAGCCTTGTTGTCGACGTACAGCACTGGAGGAGAACGAGGCCGCTCTCCCAAGTCGGTCAGCAGGTAGGTCAGCCAGCGTAGCTCCTGGGCCGCCATGGCTGTGGCGTAGATCTCAGCCTCACAACTGGAGCTGAGAACAGAAGAAGAGCGTGTGGAACGCCAAGAAACTGAGCCGGAGCCAAGGCTGAAGGTGTAACCCTGAGACGACCGCTGAGTAGCCTGGTCGTCCGCCCAAGAAGCGTCTGAGTGACCAGTGAGTACAACTCGGTCTCGTCCTCCAAGCACTAGCCCCATGCCCGACGTACTGCACAAGTAGCGCAACACTCTCTTAGCTGCATCCATGTGCTCCTTCCTGTGACGGCCAGGAGCGACATAGCGTGCAAGAATGCTAAGAGGGTATGCAAGGTCAGGTCGAGTGCAGGTCATCTGGTACATGAGGCAGCCCACAAGCTCTGGATACGGGCCACTCGGCTCTACGGACTCATCCGAAGGCAGAGCTGAGAGCGAGTGACCTGTAGGCAGAGGAGTGGACTGTGGCGAGGAGTACGTGAAGCAGAAGCGCTGAAGGATCTGCTGCACCATGTGTGACTGAGTCAAGGTAATGGTGCGCCGTGCTCTGTCCCGGGTGATCCGCAAGCCAAGATAGCTTGTCAGTTCACCCAGGTCTGTGCACGTGTGTCTCTTCTGCAGCTCCGACTTCACGTGGGCGAGTGCCGCAGTGTCAGCAGTGGCAAAGACCAAGTCGTCGACGTACACGAGGATGTAGAACGGCGGCAGTGAGGTGTCGGTGCGTAGAAACAGCGACGGGTCAGCAGTAGAAGGAGCGAACCCAAGAGCCGCAAGTGTAGTCCTCAGTGTGTCGTGCCACTCACGCGGCGCCTGGCGGAGACCGTAGACCGGCCGCTGGAGCCTCCACTGGGTGCCAGGAGGAACCGACCCAGTGAAGCCAGGAGGGCGACGCAGCCAGATCTCCTCGTGCAGGCTGCCCTGCAAGAAAGCTGTGCTGAAGTCAAGTGAGTGAAGCTCGTAGTCGCGCTGAGCGGCTATGTGCAGCAGCACCCGAAGAGTAGTCATCTTCGGGGTGGGGGAGAAGGTCTGGAAGAAGTCTACTCCCTCTCGCTGACTGAAGCCTCGAGCAACGTAGCGCGCCTTGAAGACAGGAGGAGAACCCGGCGGCCGCTTCACCCTGAAAATCCACATGCCACTGACGATGTTCGCCCCAGGTGGGGGAACCTCGTCGACGTAGGTGCCTGTGGACTTCCAGGAAGCCATCTCTGCGTCCATAGCTGTCTGCCACTGAGAGGAGTAGGGACCCTCTATCGCCTCTGCGTAAGAGCGCGGGGTCGGGATGTCTGGTGCATCCGGGTCTCCCTCAGGGGCAACTAGCATGGACACAAGATGGGGCAAAGCAGCAGCAAAGCACTGGAACTCCTCCTGTCTATCCTCAAGGACGTCCGTGCCAAGAGCACACTCACCCCCGACGGACGGAGGACAGACAGACTCAGACTCAGCAACAAGGCTAGCGGCGTAGTCTAGACGACACCGGGCAGCAAA